GCCTGGCTCCAGGTGCACAGCGGAGTTTCCTGCGTTTCTTTTGGAGAGTTAAACGTGCATCTCGCCATTATGGCGTAAGTAGCTCAGTTATTGGGCATCAGTAAGGAAAAAAATAACGTTCCAAATTTACATCTCTCGACATTACGGCAGTTGGACTGTGGCCTTTCTGTAGAACACTAAAATCTGCACTGAGGAGCACCAGTGCCACTTTGAGTGTTGTTTGAGAATTATCCAAGTTTTCTGATTAAAAAAAAATCCATAGTGTATTACACTTTTAAAAGAATCATTCATTTGGACGTATTTAAATATTTTGAGAGGTGCAAGAGCAGAGCCTTTTTGTCTTGCTACTGGCCCTTGATTTTTCACACTAGGAAAAGTCTTGATCATGAAGAAGCAGAATCGAGTGGGAAACTTCACTGTACACGTGTCATAGTGAGAGCTGAGTCACAGTAAAGACACGTGTCTCCTCCCGTTCCTCCAGGGATCACAGGCCTGCTTGGCAGGTTCACGTTACAGAAACAGCACTTGATGCTGGAGTCCAAACAGCAGGGACTGGGGGCCGGAGGTCAGTGACCATATCAAGCTAAGATGCCACAGTGCTGAGTAAGCGGCACGGAAGCGGGGCTGGTTGGTGGGGACTCCTGTACTGAAGGACGTGCAGTCACCCTGGCTTGGCGTTTGTGGGTTGCCTTGGCCATTACCGTTTGGCACACTCCTTGAAAAAGATGTCTTGGATTCACTAGTCCGTACGAAAGCCAAACCCACTGCTCTCTAGTCGATTCCGACTCACAGCAACCCTGTAGTCAGAGTAGAACTGCCCCATAGGGCTTCCAAGGAGCGGCTGATGGTTACAACTGCCAGTCTTGGTGAGCAGCCATAGCTCTTAACCACTGTGCCACCAGGGCTACAGTCCATACCAGAAGCTTGCTTTCCATTTGACTCCTTAGTTTGGGCTTTTACAATCAATCGTTGCTCTATTTAGAAATTCTGAGTTTTCCAGAGAGTTGCTGCAAACTCCTTAAGAATTAACTTCCCCCCACCCAGGCATCATCAACTGAAAGTTTCCTCTGGGTTTTAAGATGTCTTGTGCGTAGCTTGGAGAGACCCGGAGGGATGAGACATTTGCAGTGGCCCTGAGTGGTTTGCACCAGTTCGTGTTCCTGTGCAGAGAGGGGTCAGCAAGATCTAGGTGACCGGGGGCAGGTTGTGACTTTCCAAACCGCCTCTTGCCCCGTGTTGTCACTTCTGCCCATGGTTTGGTTTGGGAGCAGGCAGGCAGTGGCACCGGTTTTATCCAGAGGACTCCCCTCCCGGGATTCCTCCAGTGTAGATCTCCCTTTCTCCCTGCAGGCCCTTTGGCGCCACCCAGCGGTGCTGTGGTGCCGCGGTGCCACGGGTGTTCATCTGTAACCAGATACTTCGGTGAACGCTTATTTGGAAGTGAGCCAATTAGAGCTTGCTGCCGGCCTGTGTGCACAGCAGCCTGCTTTGCTTAGCTCTGTGGGAGGCTTAAACCTGCGCATTGTCTCCATTATAATCAAATGGCCGGACTTCGCAGAAACTAATTTAATCTGGACGGCTGCTCCATGGGCTCAGCTGGGCCCCTTCAGGTCAGCGCCTGTGCCTGGGGCTCAGGTGACACTTCTCCCCCAGGGACACCCCGTGGCTGCTCCAGGGGGACTTATGAACAGGATGGGGCAGCCCTGGCACACATTCCCGGGTCATTTCCGTCTAGGATGGTGGGTGGACACACTGGGAGGTTCTGGGATGAGTCACTGCATTGCCTAATGTGCAGTCCCACTACTGGCCCAGCTGGAGACGTTGACTGCGCCTCGGGTCGTTCGTGCCCCAGAGCAGGCCAAGCCAGCCTTCCATTTGGTGTTGGGGGTGGTGCTTCTGCTTTTCCAGGATGGGATTTTTTCCAGTTGGTTACAGGGTGACTCCTTGCCTTTCTGCACATTTGTATACAATAGAACAAGTGAATTTAGAGGAATTTGCAGATTTTAACTCAGAGTTTTTATCTTGTTGGCTCTTCGACATCCCACCATTGTCACTCACTCTGGCAGCAGCTCACTCAGTCCAGCCAACGTACAGGGGTACAAGGATGCACCAGCATCTGTATGGCCAGTTCTGTATGGAACTTGCTGCGAGTTTTAAACATTTCCCTTCAAAATAGAACAGCCTAACGTGTTCTGAGACACCCCACTTGCCACTGGAATCCACGACTTTCAGAACATTTTGCCAATAATGTGTTTCTTCTCTAACTGTTTATATACCCTGAGGTAGAGGTGAGGGACATTGAAGCCCCTCCCCCCTTAGACTGCATTCTTTTGCTGTTTCCACTCTTGGGAGCAGTTCGTTTAATCACTTGTTGGAAATGCCCTGAAAATTTCTTGATTTTGGTTTTCCCTGAATGAACCTGCAGAAACTGCACCACCGTGAGCATTACCCTCAGCTGGACACCTTCTACCACTTCATGATTTGGAGACCCAAAGTCTTGACGCTTTTGAAGCAAACACGTTTGTATCCTGAAACGTTAGTCGCCAAGGCTCTGTTCTCGGGTCACATCACACAGATGCCTGTGTTACGGTGGAGGTGTTACTTTCTCTGGAAACGCATTAGGCCAGCTTTGCAGAGTTCGTTAAAGTGCACTATTAAAATACTCAGCCGAATTTGATTGTAAAGGGCAGTGGCTGAACTGGCTGCCCAGCAGGCTCCCGAGTCCCACACCTGCATCACCTGTGCAGACCGGAGCTTCATTCCGCCTGTGCTCCACATCAGTGTGGTGGGTGTTGTCATGTAGCGCTTAGTCCCTCCTGGGCCCTAAGCTGCCACACCTGCCCCTTCCCTCAGCACCGCCCCCCCCCCCCCGAAAAGTGTCTTCTCGGTGATTTAAGCTTAGGTGGCGACAGCACTTCGTTAGGTGCTGTGGACCTTGCTGCCGAGACCTGAGTGGCTCGTTAAAGAACGATTTCCAAGTGCTAAGGAATGGTAGGTAACTCGTCAGGTACTTTAACTCGGTGTGATGAAATAATACTGAAGAAATGCAGAAACAGTATCCGAGGCAGTGAAAAGCGGTTTTTGTCTTTGTTTTTAACATGTCCCTGGTTTTGTGCTCCCAAAGGGGGAGGCGGGCGTGGGGTGGCCTTGGGCACAGGTGACAGCAGGGCAGCTGGGGAACCTGGAGACGCTGACCCCCAAGCTGGGATGGCCGTCTTCTGCAAGGGGCAGGACCTTATGGGGTTTATACTTCAGTGAATTATTCCCGTTAAAATGATTCTGTTAAGGGCAGAAAACCTCAGCAAAGTCAAAGTTGATGCCTGAGAAAACGCAAGTACTGACTCTGCTGTCAGGTTGGGTCTGTGTAGTGCTGTTGCATGTTTTGTAAAACTAAGAAACTTTATAAAATAGAAGGAACTCGAAGCCCCAGCTTTTAGTGCTGGTCTGTGACAATCGGTGTGAATTTGACAAAAGCCGTGTCCCTTGCCACTGCTGGAGAAGGAGCCAGACTACAGGGCATTGTTCCCCATCTGGGGCACCTCGAGGGGCTTGTGGGCTGGCCAGATTTTGTCTAGATAAAGGCCTCCTGTCCTCCCCCCGTCCGTCCCCCCCCCCCCCCGTGTCATGCCTTTCCCCTGGTTTGTTGGAAACTAAAGGAGCAGCAGTGGGAGGAGCAGTGATTTGTGGGTGTCTGTCTCATCCCGGCATAAAATGGCAGGGGTCTCCGGAGGGGTTCCCGGGTTAGCTGGCCAGGAGTTTGCGGAGGCCTGCTGCTTCCTGGGCAGTGAGTGAAAAGCACACACAGAAGGGAGACCTCCTCTCAGGTCATCCCTGTGTAACTTGATCACCTGCCCTGGTGGCTTGCAGATGCCTTCTGGCTCACTGGGCACCGACCCTCTGACATATGCTGGCAGGCACCGCCGCCGCCCAGCGCCGAGGTGGCTTGCAGCCTTGGGTCCCCAGGAGCCCACCTCCAGTCCCACTGACCTGATGACTGCTACTTCATGCCTCTGTGCCCAGACAAGGAGTGGATAGATAGCCTTGGCCCTCGGGCCTCTGTGCCCTGTGCAGCTCTGGGGTCTGTGGCTCTCCGGGACTGCCTATTTCTGCTTTGTGTTCTGGTTATCAAAGACCTGAGTTCTGCTGGTCTGATGTAGGATTATAATGTAACTGGTTCTGTAGCGTGTCGTTTTTATCTTAAAGAAACAGTGCTGGCATTATGGAAAGGTTTTCGTTCCTGTGTTAGCCTGGCTGCAGCCCTCCTTTAGAGTGAAGTGCTCAGTGCTCACTTGTTCTCTGTTGAAGGCAGCTCAGGAGTCAGAGATAGGAATCTTTCTGTAGCAGTGCCACTTGATTTTTGCATCTAATTCTTAGTATAAAAATGGTTGGTTTTCCTCGTTTTATGAATTTCTGTCAGCGTTTCCGTACTTTTACTAATGATGTCATCTCCAGCTGGCTTTTGTCCAGAAGAACAACAGGCGCCCCTGTGGCTCCAGGCTGGCCCCGAGCTGGGGCTCTGCTGGCCCGAGGCCGTGGGCCCACAGGAGGAGTTCTGCGTGTGCATTTAGGGAGAACGTGCTCCTTTTACCCTTTCTGGAAAACACTTTTGAAACTCACGTTTACAGAAATACTGTATTTGAATCCTTAATGATGAAAGTGCTATTCTAAATTTAGCTTTTTTTTTGATAACATGACATATGTTCCATTTTAAAACTTAGCTAATGATTTAAATTGAGCTTTTGATATAACTAGAGTTCGCTGGGCGGAGGAAAACGTTTGATTTAACGTAATAAAGTTGTTTTTTCCCCGTGTAGCAGTTACAACGTGTCACTATCATAACCCTGCTGGCAGCTCGAATTTCTCTCACTCCTTTCCTGAATTTACTCTTGGAGATTATCACGAACACTAACACCAGAGAAGCTTTGCTGGTTAATTTTGAGGCTCAGATGACAGTGCATGTGCGTGGGGTTTCTGAGTGCCTGCGTCTTGTTCCTTTGCAGCCGTGAAGGATGACAAGAGGGCGAGAGAGAAGAGGGTGGCCGCTGTCACCGTGCCCAAGAAAACGGCTCCTTCAGGTCCTGCGCTCAGCAAGCAGCCTCCCCTGTCTGGGAATCTCGCCCTGAAGAAGTCGCCTGCTTTCACTCGTATGTCAGCAGCCAAGCAGGCCACTAAGAAGTCGCCCTCGGGTTTCAAAGGCACGATACCCAGGAGGCCCTGGTTCGCGCCCGCGGGCAGTGCCCCTGCTGCCAAGCCTCCGGGGCTGGCGCCTGCAGCAGCAGCGTCCACCCCCAAGAAGCTGCCTGGCTCAGCTGTGGGCCCTGCTGCTGTGGCTGGAGCACTGAGGAAGCCAGGGCCTCCGTCTGCTCCCGGGGCCTCCCCAGCACCGGGACGGCTCGGGGCTGCGAGTCCCGCCCCATCACAGCCAAATTCGCAGATTCGACAGAATATCAGGCGCTCTCTAAAAGAGATTTTGTGGAAAAGGTGGGCTGTTTTACTTGATTTCTTACCTGTTAGCGTGGGAATTTTTCTGTTTCAAGTGTGGTTATTTCAAGGGTGTAAAGATCAGCACGATGGCAGTGCAGTGGTTTATGGAGTCCCCTCTGCCCTGTAGAGTCAGCGACAGTGACGACCTGATCATGACAGAGAACGAAGTGGGCAGAGTTGCCCTCCATATCGAGAAGGAGATGTTCAGCTTGTTTCAAGTTACAGACAATCGCTACAAGAGCAAATACCGCAGCATCATGTTCAACCTCAAGGATCCTAAAAACCAGGTGTGTGTGAGCACTGCGGAGCGGAGCATTCCTGCCACAGAAACAAGCCTGCCCGTGGCCTGGCTGTCTCTCTTAGCTGAGTTTCCCAGGAATCGTCCGAGTGCAGCATTTGGAAACATTTCTGTCCCTGCAGTGAGAGCTGCAAGTGTGTGTGTCCTCTGCTGTGCTCCTTGTCATGCCCCCTGCTCCTGGCACCAAGAACGTTACCTCTCGGAATTGAGTCCTTGAGTGCATCGTCCGTTGCACCAGGCCCAGGGAGATGCTGTTCGACACCCCTGTAAATTCTGTTCCATCCGCTTGGTCGGCTCGTGCTGTCTCCAGAGTAAAGTTCTGGTTCTTCACCCTGGTGGATGACTTCACACAAGCTTTTGTGCCGTATTTTCTTACTAATGACGGTGATGACAGCAAACAGTGTCATGTTCACCATTTGGATGGCACAGCAGGGGCTGTCACAGCACTGGATGTGAGGACTCAACCCTCAGTGGCAGCCGGGGGGGCAGATGCTGCCGTCCCATTGGGTCAAGACAGACATGGGGGTGAGAAGGTGACCGCATGTCCGGTGTCAACAGCCAGGAAAAGGCAACGCCTGCTCGGGCCCCCAGCTGACCATGGGCTTGGTCTCTGACCACCCCCACCCCTCCCGACTGCTTGGGCCCCCGGCCGACCATGGGCTTGGTCTCTGACCACTTCCTGACCGCTCGGGCCCCTGGCTGACCATGGGCTTGGTCTCTGACTGCCCCCACCCCTCCCGACTGCTTGGGGCCCCGGCCGACCATGGGCTTGGTCTCTGACCCCCTCCTGACCGCTCGCCTGCGTCTGAGAGTGGTGTCTGGTGCTCTCTCCTTCCATCTCTCCATGGTTGACAGCCCGCAGCAGAGACGGGCTTGGCCTGTCTGCCTAGCGCTGTACCTGTGGGCCTTGTCTTCCACATTATCTTCATGGCCTTGGTTTTCCCAGGGGGCAGTTTTTAGCGGAACTGCAGCAGCGTGGGCCTTAGAATCAGCCACACGGTCTCAGTCCTTAGCCTTTGTGGCCCCGCTTGCCGTATAACTGCTATGGGTGGCGCTGGTCCTCCTCAGGTGCCCTGGAGGATGGGGCTCGGGCTGTACTGCTTACCGTGTTTTTACTCAAGTAGTGTGCACGTTACAGGTGTGTGATGTTTGGCCAGCCGTGCACCCCTCACACGTTATTTTCATAGGCGTGTTAAGTATGTGGCGTGTTTATGTGGGGGCATTTTTTGCGAAAAAATCCAGAGTAGTTCTGTACACATCCTCTAGCACCTTCAGCACCGATTTGCAGGTGTTTTAAATGCATGACTGAGAGGTGTCTGTTCACAGGGACTTTTCCATCGTGTTCTGCGTGAAGAAATCTCTTTGGCAAAACTTGTGAGAATGAAGCCAGAAGAACTCGTATCTAAAGAACTTTCCATGTGGAAAGAGAGACCAGCAAAATCTGTGAGTGCTAACGGAAGGCGTGCCTTGTTAAGGCGCTGGGCCTGTGACTTCTCCAAACAGCTCCATGGGCTGTTCACTGAGTGATACGTTGTCCGCCGAGAAAACGGCGTTTAAGGTTTCATTTGTCTTTCGCATTTTAGGCGATAGAGGCCAGAGCTAAATTGCATAACGAAAGCAAGAAGACTGCCGTGAAACAGGAGACCATCCCCGACATGGAAGACTCTCCGCCAGTGTCGGATTCGGATGTAAGTGTTGGAATTGAAGTACTCAGACATACCGAGTAAAATTGACCCATTTCAAATAGTCGTAGGCACCGAAATCATTGGGCAGAGATACTGTGCTTACAACGGGTATATGTAATTGTGTTCTTTGTTAAGTACTTGTATTCAGTGGTTCTTAATCACATGAGATTTTTTTTTTTAAATATGTGATGTTAATCTGGAGGTGGGTTTGGAGAAGAAATGACCCACTTGGTGGTTTTCTTCTTTTGCTTTTAGGAACAGCAAGAATCGGTGCGAGCTGTACCTGAAAAGAGCTGTGCACCCCTTCTGGACGTCTTCAGCAGTATGCTGAAAGACACCACCAGCCAGCACCGCGCTCACCTGTTTGATCTCAACTGTCGAATCTGCACAGGTGAGCATGACTCCGGGAAGGAAACCCTAGTGAGACCAGATTTTGTTCAAATCACGAACCACGGGACCCACGTTTGGCGGAAGGGTTCTTGGGATGGTTTTCTGGGTTGAAAAAGTTAGCCCATACCTTTGTAGCGTTGCTTTTTGATTCTTGCGAGAAATGAGTGTCTGTTAATGGGCAAGATGTGTTAGATATCCCAAGAAATCTTTCCTCATATACCTCAGGTCAGGTTCCATCTTCAGAAGATGAGCCAGCGCTGAAAAAACCAAAGCTGTTAACTTCTGCTAAGAGAGAAGACGCCAGGTCCAGGTACGACAGCGTGCACTCGGAGCCTGCTCCTCACGCAGACGAAGGGATGCCAGAAAGTCCACCCGAGGGCGCTGCTGAGCCCGAGCCGGAGCGCATGCCTCGCCCAGAGGCGGAGAGAACCTGTCCCCCTGTCCCTCCAGAACTCGGCCATCCAGAGCCATCCCCCTTGCAGGACTTCACCTCCTTCCCGGCCTCCTGTGGGGGCCCTGTGGTCACCACGGTCACAGTGTCTGGCAGAGACCCCAGGACTGTGCCAAGTGGTGTGAGCACAGTCCCAGCCTCCACGGCCGCCCGCCCCACCAGCAGCCTTCTCCCGGACAGCGCCCACACTGCAGAAACCAAACAGGACGCTCTGAAGCCTGCCCTGACCTCTGTGGTGATGCCCAAGTCCATCCTGGCCAAGCCGTCCTCGTCACCGGAACCAAGGTGCTTGTCAGTTTCTTTGTCACTGAGCATCAGGTAGAGCTGGGCGAGCCAGGAGCTCGTCATTTCTGAGACTAACAGCAAGAAAAGTAATCAGTGATTAAACATCTCAACTCTGCGATCCACCTGGAAATGCAGACTTATTCTTTAATTTTAAAAGTCCTGATTTTAGGATGCGTGATCATCGTTTTAGAGAGATGTGAACGCGGGGAGTTCGGTTTTGCGCGTGGGGTTCGGGTGCCCGCCGGGTTGGTTTCCCTTCGGCCCGGACGGCCGTTCGTGTCCCCGTGGCTGCCGTAGTTCATTGGAAGGGGGCCGCTGCCAGAACCTGCGGGAGCTCAGTCGCCTTAACCCTGGGAGGTGGTAGCACCTTTGGAGTTGTCGCTGCGCAGAACAAGGGAGGCTGACTTAACTGCCTGGGGTTGTTTTACAGCATCTCAGAGTCGCAGTCCCCCCCCGAAGGAGACACAACGCTCTTCCTGTCTCGGCTTGGCACCATCTGGAAAGGCTTCATCAACATGCAGAGCGTGGCGAAATTCGTCACGAAGGCGTATCCTGTGTCGGGGTGTTTTGATTACCTCAGTGAGGTCAGTGCCGTGGGTGTGGGCGTGTGCGTGCGTCTGCGTGCGTCTGCGTGCGTCTGCGTGCGTGTGCGTGCGTCTCACGTCAGAGTTCGGTGACACACCAGAGTCAAGCACCGAGAGTCCAGGTGTTGGGTCCCTCCGAGGGCAGAGCAGGCTGCTGCATGGGACATGGGTCATCCTGACGATTCTGACAGCGGTTCCCTCTCCTCCGTCTCGTTCAGCTGAGCGCGTGCCCAGCCTTCGGCACAGTCGGGTGTGACCACCCACGGCTGCTCTGTCTCCTGTCAGAGTTCATGAAAACAGCAGTAGTGTTTATGACCTTAGCGTGGACGGTCAGCCCGTCGTCACGTCTGGGTAGCGTCTGAATCATTGCCACGTACGTGTATTCACGTAAGGTAGCGCAGGTGTCAGGCAGTAGCTTCTAAACGTAACCCTGTTTGCGAGAAGGTTATTATTACACCACCTTGAGCCTGCTAAGTCCTGCTTACGGGCAGTAAGTCGTTAATCAGCCAGCAGTTATTACCATCATGACCATTTTCTTGGCAATAGCTGTGGTGTTCTCGAATCTCAGGTCACTCCGTGAGTGTGTCTGTAGGTGCTGTGCTCTCCCAGTGACTGACTCAAAGTGCTTTTTGTTCAGGATTTGCCAGACACGATTCACATCGGAGGGAGGATCTCACCGAAGACGGTCTGGGATTATGTTGGCAAACTCAGATCTTCTGTGTCCAAGGTACTCGCTCATCGTGTAACCTGTGCGACAGTGCTTTTACGTACACACATCTCTGTCTGTCATTTCTCATGTGAACGCTTACGGTGGCAGTCTGTGCTTTACTAGATATTTCCAGGTGAATGTTTAAATGTTAAAATGTTTAGTGCAGGAACATGATAGCTTATCTGAGAGTGTGTTGAGCGACGAAGTGATAGTAGTTTTATTATTTTTCATTTTACTACATAGCTGGGTTGTACTAAGAAATACATAAGCTGTATTTTATTGTTGCGACGGAAGAAGTGGAGAGCGGCAGCTTGGCCGTGGGCCGGCCCGGCCTCCTGGGCCTGGGGTCCTGAGTGGGATTCACTTTCTGTGCACGCCCGTGGCTGCAGCTGCCATGTGTGCGTCTGCGTGCAGTTGGCTTTGGAAAGGGTCCGTCATCAGCACCACAGGAAGGTTTGGACCCTCTGACTCCTTTAATCCTCCCAGTTTAGGGGGTGCACGCAGCCCTTGTAGGTTAGCGGCCTGTGCTGTGTGCACGGCCATTCACGGTCATTTGGCCAGCCCACACCTTATGTGGGTTGTCTCATAGAGGCCATGACCCTACAAGGTAGGCATTGTAACTCAGAGGAGATCAAGACTGGAGCCTTCTCTCTGGCTGTGTGGCTGCTTTTATGTGTTGACCAGTGGGACTTTGGAAACCGGAGCCCAAGAGTTGCTGGTGTTTTCCATTGCAGCCTGCTTTTGCACGTCAGATGCACATTTTGAGGGGCCCCCTCTGGAATAGCCGTGGTCAGCGTGTCTCCCGTCCTGTGTGCACAACAGTCCTGTGTGCACATCAGATGCCCATTTTGAGGGGCCCCCTCTGGAATAGCCGCAGTCAGCGTGTCTCCTGTCCTGTGTGCACATCGGATGCGCATTTTGAGGGGCCCCCTCTGGAATAGTCGCGGTCAGCGTGTCTCCTGTCCTGTGTGCACGGCAGTCCTGTGTGCACGACAGATACCCGTTTTGAGGGGCCCTCCCTCGAATAGCCGCGGTCAGTGTGTCTCCCGTCCTGTGTCTCCTCGTAGGAGCTTTGTCTGATCCGCTTCCAGCCGGCGACAGAGGAAGAGGAGGTCGCCTACATCTCCCTGTACTCGTATTTCAGCAGCCGCGGCCGTTTTGGGGTGGTCGCTAACAACAACAGGCACATCAAGGACCTCTACCTGATCCCGCTGAGCGCTAAGGACCCCATCCCATCCAAACTCTTGCCGTTTGAGGGACCAGGTAAGCACCGACTTTCTGGGTGGTAATTAGGCACACGTGGTCACCAGATGGCCCTCGTCCCCGACACTGAGTCTCAGCTCGTCACACAGCAGACCAGGCCGTGGGACCTGACTTGCTTCCTGTGAACGGGCTGGGAGTACAAGTGAAGCGGTGTTAGCCGAAAACTAAAGCTGCAGGCGTAGGAGCCGTGCCCTCGACAGACGCCCTTTTAGCGTAAAGTGTGTAGGCAAGTTTTATGAGGAGGGAAGAATCCACAACTTCCAATTGCCTGTCCCGGCATCCAGTCAGTGGGATGTTCAGATGCACAGAAACCCAAGGATGAGCCGGAAAGGAGAGGTAACCCTGCTTACAGGCTTGGTGGGTCCTGTCTTCTCTCTGAGTGGGACCTTTATTCTTACCATCCAGCTCAGGAGAGAGCCAGTGTCAGGAAGCAGCCTCCTGCCCTCGGGGCTCACTTCTTCAACAGGCACGTTGGTTTCCAGGAAACAAACATAACATAGTAGTGAACTAGATAAGTACTTCTAGAAATAATTGTTTGTAGTTCTTTTACACAAACTGTAATAAGTTCTTCTGTCTTTGGCAAACTGCATTGTATTTGCTCATTTCTTAGAAAGTGCTGCTTTTAAAGCATTGCTTATAAATTAACCTGCAAAAACAGTTCAGGTCTGTCGAGGGTTGAGGTGATTTGGGGACGTGGTCTGAGAGAGGTGAGTAGCTGAGTCTCTGTCCACTCTGCTAACCCTTGAGTAGACGTTCCTGTGACTTAGGTCAGGGAACTAATAAAAGCTGCCTAGATTAAAGTGTCTCCTTGGCCATGAAGTCCACCGAGGATAGATATTACCTAAAAGGTGACATTCCTAATGCATTTTAAATGTTCTTTAAAGTGCTTTGTTCTAGAAGCAGTGGCGGACACCCTGAGTGCTGAAGGCGGGCACTGGCGTAGATCGCTGGCCCCTCAATGTCCTTCCTCCCGTCACAGCCCTTGGCGAGTGCTCTGCCCACCGCCGCACACAGCTCGGACCTGCGCGCTCACGTAGCCGCGGGGGGGCAGGGCGGGACACCACTCACTGCACACAAACGAGCAGGGTCCCTGTGCGGGGTCCCTGTGTAGGGCCAGAGTCCCTTCACGCACAATCCTGGCCTCCAGGCCCCAGCTGGAGCTTGCTTCTGACACTGGTGGTGTTGGGTTGGTTGGTCCCTCCTTTTTGGAATTGTGCCCGTAGAGGTGTTGGTTGGCATCAACAGTTCAGGGTTAAATATTTGCTGGCATGCTACACGATTTTAATGCCCCATAATTTGAAAAGCAAAGTGCTTCAACATGTCCCTAACACTCTCGGGGTAAAGAAACACCACCTCACGGGTGGCCAGAGAGAACCTCACGGAAGGTTCTTGGTGACCAGAGGAATGAAGAGCGCCGGCCAGCTTCCATGATGAACGCTGGAAGGAAGCGGTGTCCTCTTTTCCTGAAGGTGAAGAGCAGGAAGCTGACCTGGCCGTCTGCCGAGAGCTCCGGTCAGTCCCACGTGTAATGGTTGTGTGTAGGATGGAGTGTGCGTGTGCTGTCCCTGGGAACATACACCCGCAGAAGGGCAAAGAGCACTCTGTGTTCATAGTGATGCTGGTGAGCAGTTACGGAGCCTCCCTTTTTAAAAACAAAGCAGGATACAAACCTCACCTGCTCCATCCCCAGTTTAGCAGTGGAAGTGTCCTCTCTGGGGAGCCGGGAACTGGGAGGCAGGGGCTGAAAGACACCTGGCGTGTCTGCCAGCCCGGGATGCAGCAGGGCCCGGTGGCAGCCTGGCCTGGTCCAGGCAGGCAGGGAATCCACTGTGAGTGGACCCCACGACAGTGGGCAGGGGAAGGGGAGGAGGAGCTGACCGGGCGTGGTTTGGGCTGCTGGCGGGGGAAGGGCCGGGCCAGTCGGGGACGCCCTTGCCACCTGCCCGCTTGGTGCTCTGGGCCCCACTGGCACGGTGGGCCTCTCGCTCCCCTGTCTCCGCCCTGCTCTGTGTGGTCACATACCCGAGGGGAGACTTGCCAAGATTCTACCTTTCCCTATACAATAAAGAACAAATTTGGCTTGTTATAAAATATGAAAAAGGTTTTAGAAAAGTAATAATCACTGAAATTTTGCCAATATGCTTTTAAATACTTTTAATTTAAAGGCATTTTTTCTAAATCTAAGCCTGTTAAATTTAGCCTGATGTTTTTTATTTTTGTTTCATGTTCCTGATATCATGTTTGATGTTATTAATTTGCGTGCAATATTTGACACGCTTCCGTATTAGCTAACAACCTTGGCCCCAGGCCGGGTGATCTTCACGTGTCGCGTGTTCGTAGCTCTGCTGTGCGTGCCTTGGCGTGGTGTAGACCCTTGTGTGCACGTGTGTCCTGGCGTGGTTGTCTGTGTGCAGTTACTGTGGGATGTGTGTCTTGTCTGCCCACCGTTGCAGCGGCCCCTCCCTCTGGAGTTAGTTCTGTGCACAGCCCTTTGCGAGGGCAGCAGTGGGGGCTTCAGGAGGGTAGCGTACCTCTCCAGGATGCCCCTGCCCCACAGCAGCCTGCACGTGTGAGCACCCCCACTTTCTGGCCCAAGCTCACACCCAGTGAGGCCTCCGAGGCTCTGCCCCCGCCCTCTGGGCGTTGAGACTGTCACAGGTACAGGCGTCTCAGCCACAGAAAATGTGCTCGCCCCGAGCCCTTGCTGTTCTCAGGAAGCAGGTGAGGGCGCCTAAGCCGCGCCTGTCCCAGCACCCTAACCTGCAGCAGCTCCCCTGCCAGCCACTGGGCAGGGCCCCATCCTCAGCGCCGCAGCTGCTCTCAGTGACAGTGACCTTGAGGAGTGGCTCCCACACACAGCTCCTCGGGGCCGCGGGTCCTCGCCTGCCTTCATGGCCCGTGCACAGGAAGTGCCAGGCCACCTGTCCTGTCCCGCGGCCTCGCGCCGTGCTGGGCCAGCGTCTTTGGAGGATGGCTGGGGGCCTCTGCTCCCGCACAGGCCCGTCACTCTACAGGTACGTGAGATTGTGGAGCCTTGTCCGCGGCAGGAGGAGTCTAGTAGAGTGGAAGCCAGGCCTGTCGGGATCTGTGTGTGAGTGTAACAGAAGTTGACTGGAAGCTGAGGGGCCCTTGCTGGTTTTCACTGAGTACACCAGACCTTGATCATTCCTAAAGGCATTGCTAGGGCCTGGGTCTCTAGTCTGGGGCGCCTGTCAATTAACTTCAGATTTAGAAGACACAGGTGTGCAGTACACCCTTTTTTCCCCAGTGAGGGGACACCGCTGTCCTCTGTTAGGTGCTTTATGGAGAGGGTCTTTAACACTGGAAAGCACGTCTTCGAGTGCCTGGATCCGTAGGGTCTTGTTTTTGTATTCATGTGTAACTGCATCCTGAAGGAGCTGAAAAGTCCTGTGCCTTGAAATGCTGTCCGTCAGGTCAGCCTTGCTTTAGCTGTCACGTGTGTATCAATAGCTTTGCACAGAAATTGTAATCAAAGTCAAAAATAGTATTGAATGGAATGTACTCCTCTTTCTCCTTCAAAATCAATAAAAGTGATTTGTGGAAACTGGTCATGTTTCTTTACCCGTGAGCTGTGGGTAGCTCCTGCGCCTGCCACAGGTCCTCTGACAGCAGTCTCTACCCACCTTTCCGTGTCAGGAGCCACCGTGACAACCCTCTGCTGTGCGCCCAGCCCCAAGTCTGCCTCAGTGTGCAGACGGCCCGTGGGCCTTGGTGAAGATGGACAGCTCTCCTAACTGGCCCGAGAGCACTGAGGCCAGCGGCTTTGTGGGGGGCCGAGGGATCCAACACGGGAGGGGTCTGTGTGAGTGTGTGTGCTCGGTACAGTAGGGAGGTCTGCTGTTCCTGCTGTATTTGCCAGGTCTCTCCAAGTCAAACTTCAGTGTTGTTTATTAATTCCCACACCGTTGCTGTTCCAGCAGGTGTGCAAATCCCGTTTGATGGATTCAGAGCATCAGGGTTTTCATTTTAAGTCACAAGTAGTGGAACACACAAGTAGACTCGGGGTACAAGCATCATTTGATAGCTTTGGGGGTAGAGAGGAAGAGTCGGCTTTCAGACGGGCCCCTTCCTAAAGCTAAGCCTCATGCCCATGTATCAGGTTTGATACGTGTGCTGAGACTTCACAGAGGACTGCCAGGCAGCGTCCTTAGAACCAGGGCGGGTCTGTCCGCTCAGTCACTGCCCGCTCCACCCCATCTCGCTGCCACACCTGAGCCCGGGCCCTGGTGTTGGCTTGTCTCAGGCGGTGAGCTGACACACGTCTTTTCTGCACCCTTGTCCTCGGGCTTCTCTTTCTGTTCCTGCACACGAGGCCCACTAACCACCGGGTCTGAGCCTGGACTCTACCGCCAGGGAAACACAGGGCCGTGTGCATGGTGCTGAGACGGCTCACCACACACGACACGTTTTGAAGGTTTGTGTTTCGGGGGGTTGGGGGCCAACACCCTTGTCTGATAAGCTGTCCTTGTCTAGAAGTCGGGGGTGGCACGTTTTAAGTGCCACTGCCACTTGGATACCCACCCACCTAATGCTGTGTTCATCAGCTCTATGATCTGCAAACCCACAGCAACCCCAAAGGGGAGGTGGATAAGCAGGCACCCCTCTCACGGTGGAGAAGAAGAGGTTTTTGTGAAACCAGAGACCCCTCTCTGAGCCTGGCCCGTCTGGCCCTGGCACGGGGCCTTCAGCAGGTCACAGTCCCACACTGCAGCCAGGCTGCTCACGGCTGGCCTCGGCGCCTCTTCCACCCCCATTCACTCTCCAAGGGCAAACGCGCCTAGCGTGGTTGCCACCAAAACCGGTGAGCCTGGAGTGGGAGCCCCCCAGCTGGGCATGGGACATTCACGGGAAGCCTGGCCCCCGTCACGCTGCCCCCACACGGAAGTACGGGTAGAGGAGCTCACGGGGAGCTTTGACCTCACTTGTCTGGTGGTGTAATGCCAGACCTTAGGGCAGTGTGGGACATGGTTAAGGTGGCATGACTCCGTTAGGTCAGTAGAGGTTGCTCCAAAGGTCCCATTGAGATTAGTGACTTTTAGTCTTTGTCATAGACACAAGCTATTTCCAAGGAGCTTGTAACACTTCAAATATTCATGCAGCTGTAACATTTAAATACGTGGGTCCGGTGGCAAGACTGGATTACTTCCAAATAGACGTGCATTTTGGACCGCCCGGTGGAAAATCTTGGGGAGGATGAGTGGGGTGTTGAAGGCTCACACACAATCTGATCTGGGAGCTTTGGCCCACTCACCAAGGTGTACACACGAGGTGCTCGAGACGGAAGCCCTTAAAGCGTGAGCTTCTTCCTCAGATGCAGACAGCTAGGTAGCCTGCAGCTTTGAAAACCAGTGTGAGTGAGGACCCTACCTGTGACACATGACAGCAGATGAGCATCTCAAGAGTTTGCCAGGCCTGGCCGTACTCATTCTTTTTCTCTAATGAGCATACTAGGTCATTAAAAGTGGTAGTTGGAATGGTGGATGCACCCATCTGCCCAGGCTTAACACCATGAGTCACCTGCCTCAGCAGCTCATTGATCCAAAACTTGATTCGAAGCCAGAGCCCTCCTGTTCGCCCTTTGGAAGTTGAGCTTTGCCCTTGGTGAGGTGGCAGAGCCCTCTGCCTTGAGGATAGGTCATTCCTGGGCTGCTGACGGTGACTTAGCCGAGTCAGAGCTTCCCAGCCCTGGCCGCCCAGCACTCCTTCCCTGCCCCAAGGTCAAGCACATCCCTTCGTTTCTGCTTGGGTTCTTCCGAAGCCATCCCGTGTAGATCCCAGGCATGTGGCTCCGTGTGCAAACCTGTTCTGCAAGTTTGGGGACCATTGTCAGCAAATACATTTGGTAGGCCATGCTAGCCAGTTCAGCAGTTGACCGTGCCCAGACCCTGGTTTGAGTGAGCGATAAGGTCTTCAGTAAAGAGCTGTTACGCTGACGGAAGTACTATTTCAAGTTAGAGTAGCTGCAGTTCATGTTAGTTAGAAGGTGAACTTGGTAGATTGCCCTTCACATTTGTCGAGCAGGAAAACCTGGCTGTGCACTCAGTGGAGGTGTGCCCAGCTTTGCAGCTTCCCCGCCCCTGCCCAGCTCTCCTCACTGATGTGTTCCCAGAGGGCCAGCTAGGGCAGTTGGAGAGCCATTTCTCTGGTGAAGGGATGTGGTAGGATGCTGGGGTCTGTTAGTGACAGCTCAGGGCTCCGCTGCCTTCCTTGCGGATCTCAGCTCTTACACGCCAGCCTGGGAAGCAGGAAGGACCTTTGGGACACCGGGACCAGCGCCAGCTGCCATGAAGCCAGTCTCGACTCATGGCGACCCCTGTGTGTCAGCCCCACTGGGGAGGGGGTGCTGGGACCCCCAACTCTGCACACGTGGGTTTCCTTCTGTTGTGGGCACAGCCAGGAAGGTTAACACCATGTCTTCAGGACTGTGAAGTGTGTCTGAGAACAACTTGGTGAAGTAATTTCCCTTGTAAATGTTGAAACCACAAAGGCTGGGAAAATCTTCCTGCTGACTTGAAGTGAAAAGTTCTGTAATGTGTCCGTCTTGTACTCACAGTCGTCTATAAACTGAATTCATACAATTTGATTCATTTTAAGTAACGTGGGCTGTTGAAACAAAGTTTCTGTCCTTGCTGTCTCCTTGCTCCCAAAGTTACACTTCTTGGATTTTCCCCGATCGGCGTTCTGGATTTATGATGGGGGGAGAAGGGGTCAGTTCTGGAATCTAAGCATCCCTGACATAACCCACCACCTCAGAATGTTTGGAGTGTTGTCTTTTTTTTTTTTCTTTAACGTCTTGTGTGTGTGTGGTGAGAATACACACAGCAGACGTTCACCAGTTCAGCAGTTTCCACATGGGTAATTGAGTGGCATCGACTATGTTCTTCAAGTTGTACAACCATCCTCGCTGCCCTTTTCTGAAGTATTCCACCACCATTGACATAAACTCAGTGCCCCCTAAGCACGCACTTGCTTTCTCCCCCACACCCTGGTAACCGCTGGTAATTTTTGGCTTCTGCGTATTTGCTTATTTCATATAAATGAGATCATACAGTATTTGTCCTGCAACTGGCTTATTCGCTCAGTGTGATGTTTGCAGGTTCATCCACGTTGTGGCACACATCAGGACTTCATTTCTCTGTATGACTGACTTGTGTTCCGTTTGACCTTTATCCCACATTTTGTTTATCCACCATCCGTTGATGGACGCTTGGGTTGTTCTCACTTTCTGGCCACTGTGGAAAGCGCCGCCGTGAACGTTGGTGTGCATGTCTGTTCCCATTGCTGCGGTGAAATCGCCTGTTTAAGAAATACTTTAAAAACCGCTGTGTCTGCCCGGAGACAGCAGCCTGTTTCTGCACAGTGGCCTGTCCCTCCCCATCCTCGGGCTCCCTCGCAGCGGGTCCTGCGCCCACAGGCCGCAGCTGCAGGCGGTTCTCGAAGGCTCAGGGCTCATCAGCGTCTGCAGACCAAAGCAGCACTTACTTGATCATTCCGATCAGGAGCGTCATTTCCCCCATTAACTGTAATCTTGACATCGGAGACCAGTGAATTGACCGAGTGGTTTGTGCTTTCTTGATCATTATATTTGAGCTGAAGAATCGGCCCCCGACTGAACATTGAATATTGGCGTGTTTAGACTCATTTATGTATTGCAACTCAGAAGTTAAGGGCGAAGAGGACTGTTGATTTCCCAGTGCCCCATGTAGCAAGAGGCAAGTAAGAGGACATAGCTCACTAAGACTTTGCTCTACAGACGTCCTAGCATGGAGGTACCTTCCAGCCCTGGAGGGGGTTTCGGACATGTGGACGCTGGCCCTCGCTGTACCACCGCCACAGTGTTGTGTTGGCGTTGGTGATCACTGTAAAATGTAACGGGAACTCTGACAGCTGGGATGCTTTTTACTCGTGAGTTTTGGGTCCTTGGTTCTGTGATTTGGGGCTCAGCTTATGGCCCCCCGGAGGCCGATGTGGGCACCGGGCAGGTGGTGTGCCCGTGACGCTGCAGCTGTGAATCTGGTGCGTTGAGCTCTGCGTTCAACACTTGGTTCTGTTTTGCCACCGTTTCTTCCCTGGACCTGGAAAAACATTCCCCACCAAAGCCCTTGACAGAGTTTGCTTTCAAAGGATAAAAACTGATTTGGATTCCAGAACTGACACGGGTATTTTGTTTTTCAGGTCTTGAGTCACCACGTCCAAATATAATCCTGGGCTTAGTAATCTGTCAGAAAATAAAGCGTCCTTCAAACGCCGGAGAGCCGGACAAGATGGAGGAGAAGCGGAGCCGACTTCAAGAAGACACGGATGCCTCCGTCTATCCCAAAATAACTCCTACTTCTCAGGCCGACAAGAAGGCCTCCAAGTATCAGCTCTACCCCACGGACACCGCTGCCAGCACCCCGCCCCCCGGGTCCCCGCCTCCGCCCCCGCCCCCGCCCCCAGAACCACCGGTGGCTCCAGCTTCGGCATCGTCCGTGTTAAAAATCCTGTCCCTCCAAACGGGAGCCCTGGACACTGCCACGGCAGCCGCGTCCCCAGCCATTACAGCTGTGGCTTCCGCGGCCACCTCGTCTGCCTCAAAGACAGCTTCGCCCCTTGAGCACATCCTACAGACTCTTTTTGGGAAGAAGAAATCATTTGACCCCCTCGCCAAAGATCCAGCGGAGTCCGCCACAGCCTCCATGCAGGACTCCAAGGCCAAAGTGGACGATGCAGTGTCGTCAGCCCCGCTGCTGGACCCCATCGTTCAGCAGTTCGGTCAGTTCTCAAAGGACAAAGCTCTGGACGAGGAGGAGGATGATCGGCCCTACGACCCCGAGGAGGAGTATGATCCTGAGAGGGCCTTCGACACGCCGCTGCCCGAGAGGGGCAGACACCACGACCCAGAAACGGCTGCCGAGCCCGCGGAGCGAGAGGAGGTGGCCTACGACCCGGAGGATGAGACTATTCTAGAAGAAGCCAAAGTGACTATCGACGACCTGCCCAACCGAATGTGTGCCGACGTTAGAGGCAGCACCACAGACAGGTCTGCCGACTATGCTTCCGGTATCCCCCCTCCGTCTTTGGTCGAACAACAGAAGATGTTGGAAGAACTGAACAAGCAGATCGAGGAGCAGAAGAGACAGCTAGAGGAGCAAGAAGAAGCTCTCCGGCAGCAGAGGGCTGCTGTCGGGGTCTCCATGGCCCACTTCTCCGTGTCGGACGCCTTGATGTCACCCCCTCCGAAGTCGGCGCTGACCAAGGCCGAGCTGTTCCAGCCGGAGCAGCAGACCCCAGACCGGCCGGCCTTACCTCCCGCCACAGCCCAGGCAGCCCAGGGCCCAGAGGCCAGGCCCAGCCGCGACCCACGGCAGGCCAGGAGACTGGCCACCGAGAGCGGGGAGACTGAGGTGCTCTCGAGGCCACTGGCCAACCCCGCCTGCAGCACCCCGTCCCCGGGAGACACTCCTGGGGAAAAGGCCTTGCCGATGCTCAGCCAGGACGGCCAGCAGAGTGCACCCCCCGAGAACTCAGCCAGGCACCTGGCAGAGGGCGCGCGGCCCCCCGGGGCTGCAGACACCACGGCCAAACCTGTGCGCAAAGTCCTGCTGCCGACGCCCCCCAGCGCTGCCTTCCAGCCCAGCTTCCCTCTGCAGAACTTCAGCCCTCCTGGAGGAAATGACCCGCCCCCAAGCACAGTGTTTGCATCTCAGGAAAAATCTCTCAGTTCGGCCCAGTGTGAGGATCCGAGAAACCCTCAGTTTGCTGAGAAAAATGACAACACGACAGCTGAACCGGAGGGAGACAGAGAGCCACAGCCCAAGCCCAGTGAGGGGTCTGCTGCGTTCCCCCTACCTGCGCAGAAAGCGGGGGGCCTGCTGCCCCAGTTCCAGGGACAGCGGGAGCCTGCACCACGCACTTTTGGAATGTCAGGGCTCCATGGTCCCAGCTTTCCAGGACCGAGGGGGCCAGTCCCCCCATTTCCAGATGACGGTGTTGGTAACGACGGACCACGGGGACCTTTGCCCACCCGGTTCGGGGCCCAGAAGGGGCCTATCCCTTCTTTGTTCTCTGGGCAGCAGGGGCCACCTCCTCACGGGGATACCAGAGGCCCCTCGCCCTCATATCTCGGTGGGCCTAGAGGGGTGGCACCACCCCAGTTTGAAGAGCGCAGAGACCCCCACGCGGAGAAGAGAGAGTTCCAGGACGCCGCTTATGCCGAAATGGCTGCCCCTTCGGCCCAGTTTGAAGGCCCGGAGCAAGCCCCATTCGTGGGGCCTCGGGGCGCCGCACCTTTCCAGTTTGGAGGCCAGAGGAGGCCGCTGCTGTCACAGTTCAAAGGGCCCAGAGGAGGGCCTCCTCCCTCCCAGTTTGGAGGCCAGCGAGGACCACCCCCTGGCCATTTTGTGGGCCCGAGGGGGCCCCATCCCAATCAGTTTGAAGGGCCCAGAGGCCAGGCCCCAAACTTCATGCCAGGGCCCCGTGGGATTCCACCACAGCAGTTCGAGGAGCAGAGGGTGAACTCGCCACCACGGTTTGCGAATCAGAGGGCGCCGGGCCCCCTCCAGTTCGGGGGACCCAGGGGCTCCGTGCCCTTTTCGGAGAAGAGCGAGCACACCCCGTCACGCTTTCACTTCCAGGGCCAGCCCCCACAGGGCATGAAGCCAACGCCCAGGCCCCTGCTGGAGCTCCCCAGCCACCCCCCGCAGCTCAGGAAGGACCGCTGGGACGATGCCGGCCCTGCCGCCGCCCTGGCTGCCAACGCACCTGCACTGGGGCCCGAGCCCGAGGCGCCGTGGCCGCCGGCAGACTTTCGAGAGGGCAAGGGCCACGAGTACAGGAGCCAGGCCTTCGAGGGGCGGCCGAGGGAGCGGTTCGAGGCCGGGCCCAAAGAGAAGGCCCTGGACGAGTCTGAGGCCCAGCTGCCAGACGGTCGGCAGGGCCGGGCGTTTGAGGACAGACGTCGCGAGCGGGAGCACGGGAAGGCCTGGGAGCGTGACCGCGGCAAGAGCTGGGGCCGCGACCGGGACTGGGACAGACACAGGGATAAGGAGTCAGGCCGCGAGTGGGACAAGAGCAAGGAGAGGGGCGCCAACAGGGACAAGGAGAGAGAGGTGGAGCGGAGCAGGGACTGGGACAGAAGCCGGGACAGGAACCGAAACCGGGACCGGGACCGGGACAGGAGGCGCGACCGGGACAGGTCTCGGAGCAGAGACCGGGACCGCGACAAAGCCAGAGACAAGGACCGGGAGAAGGGCCGAGAGCGGAGAGACAGGAGCCGCAGCAAAGAGCGGGCGCGCGAGCCGAAGCCGGACGCCCCTCGGGGCCCTGACCCGGGAGGGCCCGTCCCTTCTGCCCAGTCCTAGAGGTGTGAGTCAGCCGGGCCCCAGCCTTGCTCTCCTGTGTAGATAGTCTCGGCCTGGCAGAAATCCTTTTAAAAGCCAAGTTTATAAAATGTGTTGAACAAATAGTTTTTCAAATGGCTATGAACTTAGATGAAGAACTGAATATTCTGGACTTCAGAATTACTGTAATTTTGTGTGTAATGGTTTCTTACAAAATTTCACATCTTTTCAATTCTGATGCTTTTGTAAAAATCTGAGAACTCTTAATATTTCCATTTAAAATGACAGAAATGGGAAAGTCGACAAAAGCATATTGCTTTTTCAGATTATAAAGTTATCTTTTCTAAGAACTCGACTGTTGTACATTTTAAGGGGATTTTGGTGGACCTGAAAGCCATACTTTGCTGACATCCGCATTTCTGTCTTTAAAAAGATGCTCTTGGTATCCGTCTTCAGCGGCTTTCCGTAGGGGTGAGGTGGTGTCGGGGTAGGGGTGTCACGGGGTGGCCTGCAGGTATTTGTGGCAAGATTGTGGAAAAGCAGTGTTACTAGTTTGTATCTGGAGTGTTGAGAAACACAAAACGTACACGTGCATTTTTGTTTTGTTATAAAGAAGTTTGAGTTTCAGAATTTCAGCCAAGAAACAAAAACACATTTCTTAGTTTTGCTCAGTTTTTATATATTGTCTTACTTTTGTTTCTTCCCCCAACAACGTGATTAAAAGCAACATCTGTCTGAGTAGAAATTGTTGTGTTTTAAGTAACAATTTATTGTTGTTTACATGTTACCATCCTAAAGAGAGTAAATGAACTAATGAAGTGTGCTTTTTAAAAGGGGGGGGGGTCTTTGTTTTGAGTAATCAGGAGCTTTTTACTTGTAGAGTTTGATCCTCTGACCAGTCTTCCTGTGTCCCAGGGAATGTGCACTAAGCTTCCAACTGTTGCATTTGTCAGGTGATGTAAAGTTTGTCATTGAAAATGGAACAGTATTTGTATAAAGTCTGAAACAGAAAATAGTGATATCAGTTCAAGAACTATAAACTAAATAGAAATTGTTTGACTGAAATACAGCGTCCGGCTTCTGCCATGTGTTTTTCAAGTTCTTCTGAAGTGTGAATAGAGAAAACGTTGCTAATTTATTTGACTGTACAAATACACTTTGATAATTTTTTTATATTTTCATAAACTTACTTTTGCAAATGTAAAATTAGAGATTTTCATTTGTTCTTGGGAGTCTGTTATTCCGTTGTACATCGCTACAGATTTTTCACTTTATAGCACAAATTTTTAAGTTACGAAAACATGGAGAATTTAAAATTTGGGATGATTGGTATTATACCAATCAGGTAGGTTAAATTACATTAAAGTAGGTGTCAAGTTCCAACATCTAATACAATATGAAGGGTTTTTTACTTATAAAATTAAAATTTTCTAATTTAAATACACAAATGTAAAAATCAAGCGTGTTTCTTTAGGTTTACTTGATAGAAATTTCTGTAAATTGTATTTTATATTGCAGACTGTATCACTGGACATGAAAACATGGAACTTCATAGGTTTTGTTACTTGAAGTAGAATAAACATCTACAGAAAGTTTTTTGTCTCGGTGCGTCATGACTTAGCCTGTTTGTCTTTTCCTGTTGGGAAGTTTGGGGCTTGGCGCGGACGCCTCCGCAGCCCCGTTTCTCCCCATTTTTCACCCTGTGTGCCTGTGGGAGCCCCGAGCACCTGGGCGGCCAGCCCGGCCCTCATGGTGCACGAGCACTGTCTGTTGGCGGGTGGCCAGGCCCGCCCAGCACGGAGGACAGTGCCAGTGGAGGTAGCTCGGGGCGTCCCCCCGCCCCCTCACTTGGCCCTCACAGCCCACCTTCAGGCAGTAAAGAAGACAGGGTCGCGGGCAACTGACCTTGAGCCAGCCCAGAGATCCATACCTACAGCCTCGTGCGGCTCATGTAGGTGCCAGAACAGGAAGCCTGAAGCCCGCCCAGGAGTCCCAGCCATCAAGGACCACCAAGTGCAGCGAGGGACAGCCCGGTCTGTGGAAGAACAACGCTGCGCCCAGAGCCAGCCGTCAGGGCGTCGGGAGGGCTCACATTTCGGCAGGGGTGGTCAGGGCTGACCCCAGCTCGGTGAGGAGGGAGGGCCGTGCACCCGAGGCCTTGTCAGGAGTTAGCCAAAAATCTCGGGACCTGGAGGTTCTTGCAGGGCTGGCTCTGAGAGGCCCGTCTTTGCCCCCAGGTGGAGCTTAAGCCAAAGGGGTAGAGGCGGAAGCAGGCTGGTCAGGAAGCGACATAGGAGTTAAGGCAGAGTTGAGGCCCAGATGTGGTGGCGGGGCCGGACCAGTAGACTCAGGGCTCTCAGATCAAGGTGAAGTGAACACACAGGACACAAGTGGAAGGGTGGTCCTTGCCCTTGAACTTCAACTGGTTGACGAGGCTGCGTGTGATTGACCCCAACCTTGTAACCTTGTGCCAGAATTCAGCTTCTCAATCCTGCGGATCCATCACCCCAGTGACTCATGACTCCTCCCCACAGTCCAGTGTGCAATGTGCTGGACTCAGCCGTCCAGAAACGTGGCTATAACGAGGGTCCAGCTTGAGCCTGCTCTTGGGGCTCACGCAAAGCCCAGGACCCACAGCAGCTGTGTTCGTATCAGAGAAGCCCCAGGGGAACGAGAGCCACAGTGTCTGTCAGCAGATGTGGCTCCTAGTTCCAGCACCTCATCGGTCTCTCATCTGCATCCTGCAGAGGCAGCTCTAAGGAAAATGGAAAGAGCCATTTCACTGGGAAACACTGGGGCCTCTGAGGAGGATAAGAGCCAAAGGGGGCAGGGCAGTCTCCCTGTGCCTCACACAACACCGGGCCCTCGGCCACACTGAACCCCACAGGATAGGTGAGTCCAGTGACAAGCAAACATGGCAGTGCCCCACGGGTGGGGACAGCTGAGGCCGAAGCAGCAGTGGGGACCGTGGCTGTGGCTGTGCTCATGAAGAGATCCTGACCAGGAAAGGAAAGGCAGGTGCCAAACAATGAACCCAGATAACTCGGTGGCAGGGAGGGCAAGGGGCACAAAAACGCGGCTCCTATTTCTGACTGTAATCCATGCATACCATAGAACCTTTAGGGAAAAAGAAAAACTAAAGAGGAAAACTGCTCATAATTTTATACCCAGCAGTAAGTACTGTTTGCATTTTGGTATATATAATTTTTTCAGTCTTTTTTTCCCTCTGTGCATCCTTTATTGACTTTTTTGTTTAACAAAAGTGGGATTTTATACACTTCAGTATCTATTTTTTGCTTGTCATGTCCTGGTAATTCCCAAAGGCGTCAAATGCTTATCAAAAGCACAAAAGCGTTATTTACAATTTTTGCATTGTTAGGAAGTTTTGTATTTTAAAAGAATAAATGCTGTTGCCTGGAGCAACAAGGAGCCCTGGTGGCACAGTGGTAGCTGCTAACCGAAAGGTCCGCGGTTCGAACCCACAAGCTGCTTCTCAGGAGAAAGATGTGGCAGTCTGCTTCTGTAAAGACGACAGCCTTGGTGAGAGTAACAAGAGAAAATCAGTCCCTGACATCTAGGAGCTGGCCTGGGAAAATCACGCCATGGTGTTCTGCTGAACACGAACAATTTCATAGAACAACAGCAAGACTACTCTGATAGATAAAGACAAAAATAAATGAACTCCATAGTCACATCTGAGCATTATCAAAACATGAACATTGTCCAAGCCACAAAAGTGACCGAACATTCCCACAGCCTGCCTAGTATGAGTAACTACTGTTTCTTTACTAATTCCAGTCTTAGCCTCACACTAGTCTTCCTACTCCTTCTGGGTAAGATTTATTGAGATACCGAATCATAGAATTACCCCCTCTTCCTAAAAGCACCCAAAACAGAGCAAAGCCCTGCTTCATTAAACCACAAAATCACCTAATTGTTTGATATCCACAGAATCACCTAACACATCCTGTAAGTCAAGCACCCTCTTGTTAAGATGTTCCACGGTTCCCCATGGGGTGCGTTCTCCCCCACTGCAGACACAGTGAACAACTTCCTCAGCTAAAACAACCCAGCAGAAGATGACAGCCTTGGAAGCTCTATGGAGCAGTTCTGCTCTAGCTTCTAATGCCACTATGAGTCCGAATCGACTCGCTGGTAATGGGTTTGGGCCTCGAGCAACAGGGAAAGAAGGAGAGTCGGGACTAGGGGGAGGATATGGAATGTGTGACTAACTGCCTCCATGAACAGCTGCCTCTTTTGCCATGAGACCAGAACTGGATGGTGCCTGGCTACCACTACTGAACATTTTGATCAAAGATTCTATAGAAGAACCCTGATCAAAAGAGAGAAGATGCAGACCAGAATTTCAAATTCTCATGAAATCTAGACTTTCTGGAGCCATGGAGGCTGGATGAACCCCTGAAACTATTGCCCTGAGATAATCGTTAAACCTTAAAGCAAAAATATCCCTGAAGTCTTCTTTAAACCAAACAATAGTTTACCTTACCTAGTAAAGAATGTCTACCTTGAGCATTATGCTCTTTTAAGATCTATCTATATGGGATTAAATTGACAATAGCAACTCGAAAGATTAGATAGAAAACTTAGGGGGCAGTCTGAGTTTATGTTAATGCAAGAGGGACAACTCGGAAAAAGAGGGTGACAATGGTTGCATAACTCAAAGAATGTAATCAGTGTCACTGAATTGTACCTACAAAACCTGTGAAAGTGGTGCATGTTCTGCTGTGTATATTCTGAACAACAATACAAATAAATAAATTATACATCAAGAAAGAACACATGCTGCCTGTAGAAGATTTGTGAGCTTCTGAGCACAGAGTCTACTCGACAGCGTCCATCGGTTTGTTGTGCTGTAGTAGCTAGTGTGTTGCTGTGATTCTGGAAGCTTGCCACCAGTATTTCAAATACCGGCAGGATCACCCACGGTGGACAGGCTTCAGGGGAGCCTCCAAACACAGACAGACTAGGAAGAAAGGCCTGGCGATTGATTGCTGAAAATTGGCCAGTGAAAACCCTATGGAATGCAACAGAATATTGTCGGATATAATGCTGGGAGATGAGGCGCCTGGGTTGGAAGACACTCAAAACACACAGTTGCCATAGCCATGGACTCCAAAATACTAACAATCACAAAGATGGTGCAGGACCGAGCAACGTTTCCTTCTAATGTACACGGGGTCACCATAGTTGGAACTAACTCCTTGGCAACTCACAACAATAAGCATTCACTGGGGAGAAAAAGGGAAACGACAGACGTGTACAAAGAAAATCAGGATTCCCTCATAAAGCCGCCATCCAGAAACAACCACGGCTAATAGCATCGTCTGAGTCACCTAGTGCTGCTGTGACAGAAATACCGCAAGTGGGCGGCTTTAACAAAGAGAAGTTTATTTCTTCACAGTAAAGTAGGCTAAAAAGTCCAAATTCAGGGCGTCAGCTGCAGGGGAAGACTTTCACTCTCTGTCTGCCTTCTCATCAATCTTACCCCAGACTAGGAGCTTCTCTGCACAGGGACCCTGGGTCCAAAGGATATGCTCTCCTCCTGGCACTGCTTTCTTGGTGATATGAGGTCCCCTTGTCTCTCTGCTCCCCTCTCTCTTTTATATCTAAAAGAGATTGACTTAAAACACCATCCGGTCTTGTAGATTGAGTCCTGCCTCACTAACACAACCGCCATCCATCCTCCCTCATTAACATCATAGAGGCAGGATTTACAACATACAGGAAAATCATACAATACCAGGAATCATGGCCCAGCCAAACTGATACACACATTTTTTGGGGGACATGATTCAATCCGTGACAGCCTGCTTTGTCTATGCATACGCTGCTGATGTCTAGGATTATGTCACTAAAGAAATGCATTTAGTTACGCGAAGTGGAAAGCCCAATGAACAGGGACTCAAGCACAAGAGGGCTTCATGCACGTGGGCTTCACATAAGAAGGGTGGGCAGCCCTGGACTGGAGGGTTGGCTCCTGATGTCCTCGAGCCCGTGGGCTCCACATAACTTCCTGCCCTGCCATCTTTAGCTGGTGGCCTCTGTCCTTGTGGCTGAAGATGGCTCTTGCACCTCAGGCGTTACTTCCCGTTCTGGGCAAGAGCAAGCCCAAGAGCAGACTGGGTGTGCCGGCCACCTCTGGCCCCCTTCTTCAGCTTCTGAGGTCACCCGTGGCTGCAAGAGAGGCTGGAGGCTGAGGAGTCCTTGTGGACACGTTACTCCTCATCCAAGTAAGTCAGGGGCTGTTAGTAAAAAAGAAGAGGGTTAAAACGACAATGGATACCACTACAGCCTGTGTCATACGCCGCACGTCCAAAGACTGACAACGCTGAGCGCTGGCGAGGCGCGGAGCAGCCGGAACCCACGCCCTGCCGGTGGGAAGGCGAACTGGGAGCCCCCTGCAGAAAACATCGGGTGGTTTCTTATTGAGTAACTTGCCAGTTAGATGACCACGTGACGCGGCCATCCCACTCCTAGACACCTGCCCCAGGGCACGCGTTATCAACAGGGCCAACGTT